AAGAGTGACATACCAACAATATACTCAACCTCATATACAAGCAAATTCCATGATGTTTCTCCAAATTTTCACAAGCAAGATACATAATAGAACAATTTAAGAAAATATATCCATTTCGCAAATCATGTAACAAGAGACAAGTTTAAAGGAAATAAGCATGAGATCATCAATACAATCATTTTACTACCCAACACAAAGTTCTAGAATTTTTGAAATCAAGATGATGTGAAGATATAGAGAAAAATCCATATTTTCCCCAAAAACTAGAGTTTGATGGATATTCAACCATCATTTTGTTCAAATCATGAGAATGTTTGTAAACATACCAAGGAACAAGGAACTCATAACAAATACATACTATTAAGAGTCAAATTCTACATGTATAATAACCTTAACATCAATGGACAAGGATGGAAGAAAATCCTACCTCAAATGTTTTTAAAAACCTAGGTTTAGTGTGAAGAAGATGAAGATTTGATCTTCTTTGAAGTATAGATCTCCTCTTGATCTTGTGTTTTATCCTTCTCTCTTCCTCTAGAGTCCTAAGAGTAGTGGGTTGAGAGTGGAATGAGAGAAATGAGAGTAAAGGCTGAAATCTGTGTTTTTAAACACAGAAATCCCAATTTTTTTTCCGTTACTGTTCATGGGCTGCTTCGACTTTACTGTTCATGGGCTGCTTCGATATTACTTCGTTTTCGGGGCATAACTCTATCATCCGAGCTCCGATTGAAATGATTCAAGATGTTATGGAAAGCTAAGAAAGAACTCTACAACTTTCATGTTTTGAGTTTTAAGAGATATTGACTGCATCAAGGTCTAAATTGGGCTTGAAGTTGCAGCCAGTGCACAGTTCACGTTCACTGTTCACTATTTCATCCCTTTTTCCATTTTCAATTTACCAAATTCAAACTCACATCGCTACACCTATCCCCATTTTTACAATAATTATTTAATATATATCTATATGCATATATATAAAATAAAATGCGAAGTGTTACAGTAATTTCTTGACCGTTAGATGAATGAATTTGAAATCGTAGAATCGGCTTGTTGAGGCCGTCCTGTTTTATATTATAGATCCCTCTATACTTAAATAACAAATTAACATCTAGCATATCATGTAAATCTTAATCTTTACAAAACTTTTAGATGGTTCTATTACTCTTGACAAGATATATAAAAAAATTACTTTTTTTTTCTAAAACCTCAATATTAATACACATTGACAACTTCATTTATATAATATTATCTTTTGTATCAAAAAATCAATATATGTATCTTTTTATCATCATCTACAATATAAACAATTTAAGTATGATAAAAATAAGATAGTATCTAATTTAGTTATATAATTAAATTTTGGGTTAATAACATTTTTAGTCTTTAAAGTATTTATTTTTTGTCAGTTTAATTTTCATTCTATCAATTTTATAAATTTAGTTCTTAAAGTATTTAATTTGTGTCACTTTTGTCTCTAATCAGACAATCCGTCCAATTTTTTGACAGAAGTGACCATGTGTCATTTTTTTAAATAGTATCATGTGCTCAACACATGATCATTCTGTAAAAAACTTAACGGTTTGTCTATATAAAAACCAAAATGATATGAATTAAATATTTTAGAGACTAAATTGACAAACTGAAACAATGAGGACTAAACTAAAAAACAAAAATACATATATATATATTACAGATCAAAAGTACTACTAACCCTTAAATTTTAATGTATTTTATCAAATATTTTAACAAAAAATTTTACGTGCAACGCACATGGTGCATTACTAGTATTATAAATGGAATTACTAAAAGGTAGGCAATGTTGTCCTTATGTATTTTTCCAAAGATAATATAGGAATTTAAAAAAATTTCATGCATGTTGATATATAGAAGTTGTACATACAATTCTTACAAAATTTTAAAAATTACAAAATAAACTTCATAAAATTAATAGGGATAAAATTTAAAAAAATTATTTTGCTTACTATACTCTTATTAGTAGTGTAATATATATTAGTAGTATAAATAAGATAAGATTGGTCAAGGAAAATTAATTATTAAAGCTCAAATGAATATAATTAAATATTAAATTTATGCACATAATTAATTTAAGAGGATGAAATGATATGAGAAGCTTATGTAATTAATTGAAGAAAATTAAAAAAAAAATAAAAGAATATGATTGACTTTATAACGGAGATGAAGGGCAAAATAACCAAAACACCCAACCATTTCCCACTTGAAACCAAAACAAAAAATCCCCTCCATAAACCTTCAAAAGTCTCATCACTCACACACCCAACCATTTCCCACTTGAAACCACCCCAGCCTTACATGTCATGAAAGAAAAACCCATAGAAAAAAATAAAAATTCAACTACAAATTTACGTTTTACTTTGATAAAAGAAACAAAAATCCCCACATCCAATACACATCTTCAATTCTTCAAATTAAAAGATTCACAACCCAGTAATAACAATCAAAAACTCGCATCAAAAAACAGAATCTAAAAATAACCTAGTCATAGAATTCTGGGTGCCATCCTAATACGAGAAAATCTTACTGGATGGGATATGGATCCTGAACAGAAGGGATTGCGGTTGCTCCATCAACCAAACAGGACGAACGAAATTGCGGGTGTAACAAAGGTATACGACACTCGTACCACAGCATGTAATCTAGTACCAAACAATGTCCGCCATAGGATGTTTAAACTTCGAACCAGCAACACTAATTTAAGTCTCCATAACTTTCATTTTCTCCCCCTAGAAGAATGGAAACTATGGCTTCAGAATAGTGTAGACTAAAGTATGAGACAGGACGACATTTACAAGGAAGTAATCTACACATCTGCATTCAAAGGACTTGCATTTACTCTTCCCCATTGAGGAACAAGAGCAGTCGGAGTGATAAATGTAGTGCCAAGCATTGCTAAATATTGTTGAAATCCAAGGATAACAGCATCGGCTGCATCAGAAAATACCCCATAAATTTAAAGGAATCAGACTGAAACAATTGGTTACAAAACAATGAAAGTGCAACTATGCATAAGAATGTGTGCTCTATGAACGTCAATTAAACTATCACACAATGGAAACTCAGACATGTTCCACCAAAAAAATATAAGTATCCTGCAATGACAATGTAATAGTCTTACCTCTGTAATAAGAAGAGACGGCAACCTCCTGGATTGGCACGGTAACTCAAAATTAATATGGTTCGTGTTGTCATCCGAAACAGTCCTAAAAAATCATCTGAAATGTCGTGGGTATTATCGCATGTGAATTGACAGTGATGAGACACAAGGGGATACATAGTTGATAACACGAATTCCATTAAAACTTTTACAGAATCGTAAATTAACTTCAAACAACTTAAAACATGCACAAATCTGGAATTACCATCAATATTGCAACAAATTCTAGATTAAAAAATTCCCAAACACAGCACACTAAACAACAAACATTCGATAAATGGAAGCACGGCCAATTCACAATTTGCTTATGAAGATTGTACTTTGTCGTCTTCTTTTTTCTTTACTATTCTTTTTTTATTTTTTTGAGGAATATGTTCTACAATAGAAGGTAACAAGCTCTAAAGAGAAGAAGAAAGCAAATGGACGCAAAAGTATCAGAACCCACAACTACCTAGAGTAACTTACTAGAAAAACATGCATCAAGAAATTGAACTATAGCAACTTGTTACAGAGAATTTAAAACTACTTATCAAACCAAACAAAAAGGTGAAATTCATTGAACACACTATAAAAAACCGAGGATGTACGTCATTCAAGCATTTTGCAGAGTCTCAAAGTAGCAGAGAACTCTTAAGATTTGGCTTCAAAATCTCCTGCACTGATCATTATATGATAAGTGCTATCCACATTCAGTTCTGTGTATGTAGTAGCCGCCACCGCCACAAATGAAAGGAGGGAAATATCGAAAGAAGAGAGCAGGTGGAAGGAAGGAGAATATGAGATGCTAATGTATCACCAGAATCGGTGGAGTTTTTTTCTTGTTTTGCAACAGATGAAGACATAAGTTCTAATTTGTAACTTTGGCATTCAGTGCATATTGGATACGGATAAAAATGACCTAATTGTATTGTTTAAGAGTAAAAAAGGAAAATAAAAGTTCATTAGAACAGGTGGCATTTAGAAGTAGTCTGAATATATATAATTTGAGCACTTCTCAAACAGTGAACAAACTTTCCACCATGGAAATAAATTTATTGAAATCCTGGCTAAATCATCTGCTTGAAATGGCAACAGGACTCCTCGTGTGATGGATCACAACTCTTTTTTGATGCTAAAATGGCTTGGATTCAACGTTGTCAAGATAACTTGGAAGAAAACATTGGTGGTTAACAGTTCAAGTCCTAACTTCGAGTCTTACAGAAAAAGAAAACACTCTGGTTGATCCAATGCGCATGCATCCCAAATTTACGAACCAATTACAAATCCAAAGGGCATGCAACTAAGATGGTTCGTTGCAATAAAAAAACATCTTAGTTTCTATTCTTGGAGACTCCACCGACATCCCAAAAAAAAACAAAAAAAGCTTCTTCCACCCACTTTATACACAATATTTTGTCAGATCATCAAAAAAATAAAAGAAAAAAGGAAGTCTTAAAGGGGAAGTGTGGTTGAGGTATTTGCATATAAACCTGATCTAAACAAGCAATCAGTCAAATAGACATATCACATGGTTTTATATTATATTACATACACTTCCAAACACAAATTCAGACACGAGCTCAAAGTTGGATTTAGTTTGGTTGGCAAGGTTGCTATTGAAATAAATCAGCATTACAACAGTATTGGTAGTTGTTGCTACTTCTTTCTCATCCATCCATGCAGACAGAACTACCAAGCACTCTACGTTAAGCACAGAACACAGCACTCACAAAATTTCTATTTATTCCCTTAGCCAACTGGACAGCAACAGACTAAGTAGTTGTTTTTTTTTTTTTTTTTTTTGGGGGGGGGGGTGGGGAGGGGAAGGGTTTGGATTGAGGCCAGAAGTTTCAATTCCCTACATTATACTGAATGTATAAATTATACAGTTTGAATCATATAAACAACTCAACTCATCAATCAAGCATCTCCAGTTCATCCGAAGAATACTCAGGAGCTTACTGATGGCCATTCCGATACTGGTTACCTACCCGTTCATGCACGGAAGCCCCTCATAGATTCCCAACTATCCAATCTTCTTAACAAAACTGCTGCTTGAAATAAATTATACATGCTGTGGTACTCCAACAATAGTTTCCCTGTGATCTAGCTTGATGGTTCTTCCTCCAGCAAACAATAATAGCCAGATATAGTATAGAGCTCTGCAAGTTAAACCCAACTTATTATCCACCCAAAAGATGTCAAAGTAAACTGTTTGACATGTGAAGATAAAATAAAGTTAGAGTGCGAGTGCTAGATACATCCCAAACCAGAATAATTTTTTAATTTTTTTTAATGGGAAAAAAGTTTTCATTCCATAGAAAGATGAAAGTGTACAAAAATAGTGGATAAGAAATCCACTTACAAGAACAAAATAAAAAGAAAAAAACAAATTAAGTTCTACAAATGGCTTTCCACTTATGTTGTGAACTAATAAAGGAGTGTCACGAAACTCATTAGTAACCACAGCTAAAAAAAAAGCCAAAAATCTCACTCTATCCCATAATAATTCTTTTTCCCTCCTCCTTTTCTTCCAAAATTCTGCGATTCCTTTCTATCCACAACACCCAAAAAAATGGCCAAAATAGCCTCCACAAAGTAGAAGCTTTCTTACCCTTTCCAAAACATCAAAACACATTACCAAAAGAGACACACAACTAGGAAGAGGCACCCACACCAATTCTGCCATCCAAAACAACTTATACCACAAGAAATGAGCTATGGGGTAATGAAGAAAAAAATGATTCACACTTTCACCACTTCTCTCTTACACAACACACTAATGAGGAGAAATATAAGTTTTAGGCCTTTTCTTTTGCAACACAGCACAAGTATTCACCTTACCGTGAAATATCATCCAAGCAAGCACCTGCACCTTAACGGGCACTCTTGCCTTCCAAATCATTGAGTGAGGTTCAAAAATGGAATCAATTGGATCATTAATCAACCACCGGAAATAGGAATAAGAAGAAAAATTTCCAGAAGACTCAAGAGACCAAAACCTTTTATGACTAACCATAGGATCCAAATTCCGCTCATTAATATTACAAAAAAAAACAAATTCCACCGCTAAGAAAGAAAGATAAGAACTAAACACTGTAGACACTGGCGACGTTTAGTAAGTGGAGGATGGGTGAAGCAAAGGCAGAGTAAGGGCATACTTCTTGCAAGCGGTGGTGGGTGGCCAATGTAGTGAACAGAGGGGAGAGAGAGAGATTTCCTTTCACATTGGGAATTAAGTGTGCAGTAACTCAAATCTCCGTGTTTTCAAAGTTTTTGGACATTTGTTTATGCAAGTATGAAAAGATATATATGTAGTGTCTGCAAAAATTAGCCCTCCAAAAAAATTCCCAAAACCAAACAGCGTTTTGGTGTTTACTTGTATTTGACAACAAATTAACTCTTTTCAAGATAGAAGGCCCTAAATTTCAAGTACTTGCAGAAAACTGAGAGAAAACAGAATATGAGAAATAGCCATACGTTTTGCTAAATTGGTAGCAAAATTTAAAGTCAAGTCAACAAAGTCCCCATAATTTTAAACATTACCTAAGAACCCAAAAAAGAACTCCAAATCACTCAAAAATGACTACTTACACAAAATCTTTCAAAGACAACCAAAGAATTGACTTGACAATTTGCCGCAGAATTATATGGCTGAATTAAGTCAAGTTAACCCTGAAATGTTCTATATGGCTGAATTAAGTCAAGTTAACCCTGAAATGTTCATGTCAACCTATAGCTCCACGCAAAGTCCATTTTTCTTTTCACCTACGTTTTTTTGGATGAGAAGCAAAGCTCCAAGCATATTTTAATTTTATAATCTCAATTTTAGAAATTTTAGAATTAAAGACATCATAGAACTTGACAAAAACTTTTCCACTCATTTATAGTAGGGTTGTCAACATTCGACACGACACGATTAACTGACACGAATTAAGCGGGTTTGGGTGAGATCTTAACGGGTTTGAGTGATAAACGGTTGACACGCTAAACACGTTTAATAAACGGGTCGTGTTCGGGTGAGACCTGTCAAACCGTTTATCATACGTTTACCCGTTTAAATAAAATTAATAAAATAATAAAATAATAATTATTTTAAAAAATTAGCAAGAAAAAAAGAACTAAAGAAATCAATAAAAAAAAGAACTAAAGTAGTAGTTCAAAGACAAAAGAGAATAGATGAGGAGCACTTCAAAGACAAAGGCAAACCAATGCCTTTTATTTTTGTCCCACATTGGAAAATGAGGGGAGATGGGGAGGGTTGAGTTGCCTATAAAAAGTAATGGCCTCTTGCTTTTTTTTTTAAACCTTCAAGTCATATTTTTATGAGATTTGGCTAAAAATTTCTCTTTTTTGAGGTAAGTGCAATTGGAAATAAAAAAAAGTTGAGTATTAAAATTTGTTAATATAAGTTTTTTTAAATTAAACGGGTTAAAAGAGTTATGTTGTGTTACCCGTTTATTAAACGGGTTATGTTCGTGTTGAGAATTTTTACCCGTTTATTAAACGTGTCGTGTACGGGTTTATATATTTTCCACCCGACACGTTTGACACCCCTAATTTATAGCTACCCCTTAAAGAAAACCCGAACCAGAGCATTCCAATCCAAACCCACTTTAAATAACAGCCCGCCACCGACAGTCAAGCCCTAAGAAAATTATTAAACTCAACAATAACAAACCCTACGCACATTCTTTGAACACATCCTAACCATAATGGAAGCCAATCTAACGGCAAAAAACAACTGATATGTGATATCCACATCTATTTGACAGACCCATCACTATCCAGAAATTGAAACGCAAATAAAACTAAAATGAGAACAACAACGGATAATAGAACCGATATATATGTGTGTGTGTGTGCATACTCTGCACATTCAACTTGAATATAATTGCATATATGATTAAAGAACAGAGAAATCACCAGGAAGAGCTTAGCCATGTGCACCCCCTACCCCATCCATAAACGAGAAAAAGAAAAAAAAAAACCACATTGTCACATAAAACTTATGTCCTTAGCAAAAATGATACCATACAGTACTTATATAGCACAAATCACAAGTGCAATGGTACTTACGGAAAACAAATGCATTCAGAGAAATGGAGAAACAGTACCTCAAAATTGGTCACCATTCATCACCAATAATCCCGGCAAGAACACAATCCATCTTTGAAATGGTGAAACCTCTTGGCATCTCGTATGATGAGTTCCCTCCCAACCAGCTTCGAAATGATCTTCAATGCACTATGACAATCTCCACAAACACGAAGATTCTTGATTATACGCAGTGGCGAGCGAGCTGCACTGCTCAAAAGACCCTGAGCAACAGCAAGTCTCTCACTATGAGCAAGCAGAGCTTCCTCCTTACCTTCTTGGTCTATGTCATGGAGCACAAACTTAGTCTCTGGCACATAACCAGCCTCTTTCATCTGCTGCTTCATTCCCCTTAGCAGCGCATATATCTTGTCATTATCAGGGTGCGAAGTATCTCCTGCCCTATATTCGTGAACCCTACTCCTAACTTCCAAGAGATTTTGACCCGCCAATTTCTTTCTCTCTTTTTCTTTTGCAAGGTCTGAAGCTTTCACTGGTATGAGGCCTGCCGTTGATTGCTCATTCAAGCGAGAGCAATCCAGCAGCTCAACAAATTCAGCACAGCGATCCCCAAGCTCCATGTTTCCATGAACTCTACAGAGGTTCATCAAGGCTTCCCAAACATCTACACTTGGCTCCATTGGCATCTTTTCAATGAACTCCAAAGCTTCATCTAGGTACCCTGTACTTCCTAGCATGTCTACTATACTCCCGTAATGCTTCATAGATGGAACAATGTTGTAATCTTTGGTCATTGATTCAAAGTGCAATAAACCCTCGGTGATGTCACCTAGGACAGTACATGCAGAGAACACACCAAAAAACATTTCGCCATCAGGCTTCAGTCCTGAATTTTTGAACTGAGTGAACAAGTCAATAGCATCTTCCCCAAGACCATTGTTGGCAAGCCACATTATCATGGTATCCCAAGAAGTGAGATTGCGCTGTGGCATTTTATGAAATACCATGCCTGCATCATCCATGGAACCACATTTACAATACATCTCAAGAATCTTGTTGTAAGTGCTGACTTCAGGATAGGGCACTGATTTCATAAGATGCTCATGAACAGATTTGGCCTCTTTTAAAGCTTTAGACTCTCCGCATGCCCTCATCAAAATCAGATATCGGGGCATATCAACTGGGATACACTGCTGCTCTAGCAAACTCAAAACTTCAATGGCTTCTTTCAGTTTGCCCTCTTTGCAAAAATCATCAAACTCCTCGATAGTGCCTCTTAATTGGTTACTTTCACCAGCTTCAACGGACTCCCCGTCAGGTATAGAATTATTAAAAACTTGAGGACCCATCCCATAGTGTCCACCATTAGCATGAGAAATCCCAATTGTGTTCTGCTGATATCCTCCAACCTTCTCCCCAGTGAACCCATTTTTTGAAGTCCCAGCATTTTCTCCATAAAACCCACTTGGATTTTGATGATAAGTTCCAGTTTTGCCTCCATAATGATTACCCTGCACATTCTGAAAACTGTCGGTACTACCCCCAAAATTCCTGTTTACACTTCCTTGAGATTCTAATGCACTTTGTCCATTTGGATTTTGTGGCACTTCTACTGATCCCACTCTGTTAAACCCATTCTGATCCTGTAAGTTCACGTTTTCTCTATACAATCCATTTGATCTTTGCTGCAAAGTCCTTGTCCTCTCTGTGTTAAACAAATTCGAGTTTCGCCACATTTCACCCGAATTTTCCCCATTATAACCATTAAAGTTCCCATTTTGCCCACCTGGGTTATTCCAAAAATCATTTCTAATCCCTTCCCTGACATACCCAGAGGAAAAATTCCCATTTTGCATAATTGGGTTCCGCTGAAACTCACTTACATGGCTTACTTTATAATCTGCATTATAAGATTTCCCGCTTTGTCCAACTAAGTTCTGCTGAAATTCATTTCCTGGGTTTTGCCCATAAATCCCGCTGGGGTTTTGGCCATCACCCACTGAATTTCCCCCATAAAACCCATCTGGGTTTTGCTGATACTCTCCATTATTTCCTCTATATACCCAATCTCGGTCATGTCCATCTGATTGACTCTGATACTCTACATTAATTGCATTATTACCATGAAACCCGCTATTATTTTGCGGATATTCCACACAATTTTCTCCATTAGACCCATTTGGGTTTTGAAAAAATGATCTTTCAGCTGCAGTGCTGAGGAGCCTCACGTACGCAACGATTCTGTGGGAACTTAAAAAGAAGTGTGGATTACATACCTTGGGCAAAGCAAAGAGAGATTTGATGGTGAGAAGTGAGGCTCTCTTTCTGGACATTGGTGGGTAGAACTCGTTCTGGTCCACAGAGAATCGTTTCACGTAGATAGCGACAGACGGAGGAAGAAGGAGGCGTCGCTGGAACGTAAAACCCTCTCTATATCTCTCTACCGGTTTTCGAAATCGTTTCACGTAAAACCCTCTCGTACAACTCGAAATGGGTTCTCCGTATCTCTCTTACCGGCTTTCGAGTTGTACGACGTCGTTGTCGGTTTGTTTACACCCAAAACCCTGTTCCCCAATTAGGGGTGGCAATTTTTGACACGACACGATAATGCGATACGAAATACGATACGAATAAATGGGTTTGGGTAGACTAATTTTTTTACACGACCCGCGTATGACACGACTTGCCAACACGAAGTGTTAATGAGTTGTGTTCGGGTTCAACCCGTTTAACACGAATTGACCCGTCAACACGAAATTTTTAATTCGAAGGAGATTGACTTGACCTTTTCATTGCATGAATGAGTTTTCATGTATTGATGACTTATTTTTTCCATTACTTCTGATGTTTAATTTTGTTGTATGATGTACAATTAACATATTTAATTAGTATTATATAAAAAAATATTAATTATTTGTAACTGTTTATTAAGTATTGACATAATTATTGTATAAAAAAGATATTATTACTCATTATTGTTGTTATTATTATTATTAAGTTAATTTTTAGTTTGTATAAAAAGTATGAGGAGATATTCAATTAAATGAAAATAAAATCGTAGTATTAAATTTTTTATTCAAAGTTTATGTAGGTCAACACGAATATGAACACGAACACGACACGAAAATAAACAGATCAACTCGACACGATACGAATAGTTAAATGGGTTGGGTATAGGTTGACTAATGTTCAACATGACTAATGTTCAACACGACACAAACCCGACACAACACGACTCGATTGTCACCCCTACTCTGCATCCTCTGTTGTTTGACAAAAAACAGCACAAACAAAACGCCAACATTTTGTTAAGTGTGCACACTGTAAATATATTTTTCGCACAAAGAGACAAACGATCCCCAAAATAAAAAATAGGATAAATTACACTCACACTCCTTGACTTTTGGGTTTATTACACGAACACCCTCTCAAGTTAGACGGAGTTAACTGCCTTGATAAAAAGACTATTTTGCCCCTCCTTTAACACAAACTCAAATCCAAACCCCAAACCCAATACCTAACATCTTCGTCGTCTTCTCCACACTAACTCTCTCTCCCTCGTACCCTTAAGGCAAAGAATCAGGTTAAAATCACTGGTCTTCTCTCTTTTTCTATATATATACATATACAACAGATCTAGGGCTGGCGGGGAGCTGTGGAATCTAATCTTAGGATGGGTGGTTAAAAATTTGGCTAGGGGTCTGGGTATTGGGTTGCGATGGTGTTAAAGGGCAGACTCAGTCTGAGTGAGAGAGAGAGAACTGGTTTGGTGGTGGTTGGTGTTTGGGTATTGGGTTATGATCGCGTTTGAAGGACAGACATAGAGAGAGAGAAAGTTAGTTGGTGGTGGTTGGAGTCTGGGTGGTTTTCGAAACCCACTGCAGTGGTGGCGGTGGTGTTGGATTTACGGATCTAGTTCCTTATCATAAGTTTTGTGTAATTTTTGAAACCCACCGCAGTGGTGGCGGGCAGTGCTCTATGTATGTGTGTGAAGAGAGAAAGAGGAAGATAGAGAGAGAAAGGGAGAGGAGGAGAAGGTGATGGTGGTGGTGGTTTTCGTGGTGTGGAGGCGACGATGGGTGACGATTAACTGTGATGATGGATTTGGGACAAATATGATTGATAAATGGAATTTACATTAATATATTGTATAATAAACAAAAAATTTTAGTATTTAACTTATTAATTTGATAGATTATGAAATATAAAATAGAGAAATAATAAATAAGAGATGGAATAAATTTTGGGGTAAGAAAGAATAATATTTCACTTTTTAAATTTAATTTTGAATGACATTTTTGGTATTCTACAAATTATTATTGATGACATCAGTTTGGACAATTAACCATTTTAACGTCTGTTAGTTGGAGGGGGAGTAGTTGTTATAAGTTTTAAATATCGAGGGAGTTTTGTGTAATTTTTCAAATGTGAGGGGATGTTCGTGTAATAAAATTCAAAGTCAGGGGTGTGAGTGTAATTTATCCTAAAAAATAACATGTGAAAAATTAATTTGTAATTTTTTTTGGTCTAGAATTTGTAATTTTACTTAAAATTTTTATTTCAACGATCAAATGAATTTAAATAACTCAAATTAAAATTTATAAATAAAAATTCTTTACAAGATATGGCACTAAATTTTCTTTTGAATATGGTACCGAAAAAGATTTTGTCACGTCCCATCCCAGCCTCCCAAGGATGAGATGCGACTAGATTTTACATACACCGAACAATTATTATAAGCTGGACTAATCAAACATGATATAATCCCACAGGTGCAACAACAACACTCATCATCTTAGTTATTAAGCATGATGGTAAAACCTGTCTGATAACCTGTACTATATATAAACACATGTACCAATCATTTATTTTCCAGGTTATAGACATATACAAAATCTCACACCTACATAGCATACATCACAAAGTATGTTTGCCGAGTCTATTTACAAATATATATACTATTAACGTGCCATAAATATCTCTCATAAATATAATACACAGCCTAACGGTTAGTCATACCGACACTCAACTTGAGTGGTATTACACTAACGTTGCACAAAACTTAATCAACTGGACAGTGGACCGGTCTGTATTCTCCTTTATAGTACCTGAAAAGAAAAAAGCTGTAGAGATGTGAGCTAAACCACGCGCTTAGTGAGTATACATGCAGTATATGAAATGAAAATGATAGTAATACACTGAAGTAGATAGATACTATGTAGATACACGTATCAAACAACAACATCAATTCAATTCCAAAGAATTCACAAGTCACATCACATCTACACTACCCCTCATTGGATAATTGATCCCATATGGATCCGTGTCTCCCGAACCTCCTAGGAACATCACAGTGCTAGCACATCACTGCACGCCCAATGACCAGGCATCGACGCCCTTGTCTCAAACAGTGCACCACATTCTACAATACACAATGCACAGTACAAAGTATTATCCAATCACATAAGCACGTAGCACATAATCCTGAAGAATTACTATTAAATTGTATCATTTACTATTATCTGATAATAGCATTTTCAAAACATATAAAGATATACACTCACCTCAGATGTATAAATCTACAGCCCTCTGATCCTATCAGTGGATCCTTTCGGTGTCACCGTACCTGTTTTAATACCGACTGTCTCACTCATTCCACCTAACACATTTGTAATGACAATATCAATATGGTTATCAAATTTAATAATTAATTATGCACTAATGCATGCAAATGATGCACCGCAAAGTGCCCCGATAACTCCGGTTACCGTCCTATCCACTCACACACTAGCACTTTTGTTCTAGGGATCACATTTCCTCCCCAAATTCTCAAACTCACTCACATTAATCACAATTAGGATTAAGCAGGTCAAACACATTGACCGGGGGTCCATTTTCACACATTTCGACCCCGAATTCTAAAAACTGCACTTTCGACATTTCATACGTTTCGCACCGGATATTATACTCATTTGCATTCCAAAGTCACATCAAGCATTATTTAAAAATGCTATATGCAAAATTTCAGATTATTTGGATGAAACTTCGCATATGTGATAATAACATTTAGAAATCAGGGTTTCGGCGCAACCGGCACACCCCTTTCCAATTTTTATCGTACTTTTTATTTAAAACCGTCACACTTAATCTTACACACACATTTAATCATGCAAATTTCAGCCCCTAATTGAACTTTTAAATTACTCATTTCACTCTCATAATTTCGGTTCCAACCTAGCCCTCAAAAACATACCGAACATTTTAAATAGTTATTTTTTACATTTTTCTCAACTTTATTTTAATACTCATTTTCACAGCCCCTTAAGTGGACTCAATTCACTTAATTAAACTCTAAAAAAATCTGTTTTGATCATAAAGTAAAACAACCCATCATTTGTACACAAGATAGCCCACTAATTAACTAATTATGTGTAATACATTTAATTAAACTCAAATTTAAATTAAAATAGTCTACTCATTAAAACATGCTAAAATAACTCATACATGTATAACAACATAGATATTAAAATTAATCACAACGTACGATTAAATTGAGTCACACATACCTTCCGTGCTCACGGTTCAAATAGACCTCCGCACGTATATTTTTTTTTCTTTCTTTCTCTCTTTTTTTTTCTCCTCTCTTGCTCTCTTCACTCTCGGCCTCAGAACTCTATCAGACGCACACACACACACACACCTTTATAATTGATTTAACACACACACACTCAACACCTTTAAACACACACACGACACTCTTTTATTTTTATTTTAAAAACATGTGTAAAGTTAGGTGAATAATTACACTTGCTCCCCTCAAATTTTTAAATAATTTCAAAATCAACCCGCTAGTATTTTCACACATGAAATTCTATAAATGGTGTCACTCATACATCACTAACGGAGTCCACCTACCCAATGTATGCTCATTCACATCATGCCTATAAAAGATTTAATTTAATTCACCTTTTCATAATTTTACATAATTATAATTTAACCCATAAAATTATATTAATATGCATGCAATGCGTGATTGAGTCTCACAGATTTACATCCCAAGTAGTATTTGGGTTGTTTATTTCAGATTCGTGTCGAATACTTTAATCTAATTTATTTTCTTAATTAAGTAATATGTCATGACATTAATCCGATGTATTTATTAGCACATTATGTTTAGATATACCAATTTAACTTCTGGACCTAAAATGTAAAACTAAACATTATTATATCTCATAATTTTTTCATTGAATAAAAAATTGCTAAATCCACCTAATAATAAAAAATATATAAGCAATGAATTTTTTTACAAGGATTCGTGTTAATACCCAATAAATAAATAACAAAATTATGATATCTCTTCGTACAATAAAAATCAAATGTGTTAATTGTATTAATTTTACATTATTTGTGTCTAACACGAACCCTTTTCATTTATTATTCGTGTTGATAATTCATATTTTTTAATTCATGTCAAAAAATTATAAACC